TAGATTTTCAGTACAAATCGGCAATTTCATACTTTAACCCCTATTATCAAGTGACGGGACGAGCTAGTCGTGCGACTGATGGTAAGGTACACGCCTGTCCATAACAGATGCAGTGCCACTCAGAACTTTAAATTGCAAAGATCTGATGGGCACTGCCACTGTGTGCGTCACCCTTACTCATAAGTTGACAAGTCATAGGAATTATTATCACTAGTATCAGGTTTCTTACCACGTTATGACTTCTTTTTATTTTCCCGATATTTTTATGTTTTGTGTGAAAAAAGTGAGTGACAATGGTAACGCCACAACAAATCGCGATGAAGGTAGTCGTCGACAGCGCAAGAGGGTAGACAGATATGTCTGCTCTTAAAGCTGTCATCTGCCGCCGTCGAGTCAACCCGTGACCATGGAGGGTGCAACTGTTCCGAAATATCGGGAAAATAAAAAGAAGTCATAATGTGGTAAGAAACCTGATATTAGTGATAATCATTTAGTGAATAACCACGAAAGTCTTAAGTCATAGGAAGACAAGGAACGCAGTAATGCTGACATTACTGCTTGGCGGCAGAAATAGGTAAGGTGACAGTACTTCCCTGGACGAACTCTTTCAAAAAGCCTAGTTCTGCGCTTCGACGTGGACAGTGAGATCTTTGACAGTAGTTCAAGGCAATCGAGTCGCCTTCTTAAAGCGTCAAGAAGAGTCTTCATGGGTACTTTAGGTAAATTAAATCCCCAATCCCAACCACGGCTTATTATACAATGGCACAAGTTTGGTATCCTGACTGCGGCACTAGGAGGCGAAAAATTTTCTTTCAAATTTTTTATACTAACACTCCATCCGTATTTGTCAACGGTACGTCGTGCCCATAGTTTCTGGAACTTGTATCCATCCGGAACGCGTACCATACGAACGGATGACGAGTAGTTCGTGGCCATTGGGTGCACGTACTCCTCTATTGAGTCCTCTGGAAAACAATAAACAATAAATTTTTAAACAGAATTTAGTAAGCCAAGTAAAACTATAAAATGCGCATTATCTGGTAATGTACACTATTTCACAATCTTTCTCTTTTGCACGCTGTTGCCCGCTTATATCTCCAACGAACAACACTACGCCAACTTAATTTTTCTGTTCTGTTTTTATTTTGTTACTTGTTTCTTTGTTTTTTTCACAAAATTCTTTTTTCTTTTTCGAATTTCTTTTTTTGTTTCTTTATTTTTTTTTAACAATTCGGGGAGCATAATATTAGTAAACAAATATGACTGTTTACAAAAATAACAGGAAATAACGTAAAAAGTTGGCGTTAGTGTTCATTGGATCGTATCGTTATGACCTTTGTTCTTACTGCCTCGGATAAGCTGGAAGAGGTCTTTTTTAGAGTCAAATTCACCTTTGCTCACCTTCTGTACAATAAATATCTCTTTTGTATTTGTTTAATGCAATAAAGAATATCTATATTAACGTATAACATGTTTTAAATGATCTGGCACATCGCCGTGAGACCGTTTTGCTAGGATGGTTCTGGTTAGGCGCGGGAGCCCCGGCATAAAGCCGGGGCGGCCGGGCGCCGGCACAAACCCGGCGAGAGGCAAACCGATGGGGTTTAGTGGGTACACCCCAGGGTCCATGCTAGACCCAGGAGCAGCGCCCTTTTCAGGGCGCCGGGACTCCCACATAACCTCCGAGCCGCCCGGGCTCGGGGGTATCCATAAAGGATTCCCCACCGTTACCAAAAAAAAAAGAAAAAAAGATGGTTCTGGTTGAAAATCAAAGGAACCTATCTATGTCTACACAGAGTTCAGAATTCTCGCCACTCTGTTTTTTTTTATTAAAAATAAATAAATAAAAAAAACAAACGTCCTTTATTTCCAGCTCAATTAATCCATAGGATGTTACTAACGAGATACTTAAAATTATGTTAGTAAAATAATTGAAAAATGTAACAATATAACTATTTTAATATATTTGCAAAGAAGTTAACGCTGAGGACCGCCGAGTCCATTCTATTTGTTATCATCTTCAGGATTCCATTGGATGCGGTTTTCTTCAGCATAATCGCGTGGAAATCATCCATATGTGCATCGCCCGAAGCACTACAGAATGCACACACTCATACCCCGGCACAAGGGCAACCCTGAGTCGTGGGTGCCATGGACATACATGTAGACAACCGGTAATTACACTCAAACTCACGAGAGAAACAAATGTAGGCCATAAAAAGATTTTTCCCGGTCCGGGAGTCAAACCCGGAATCTTTGCGTGGCAGAGCAGCATGGTAACCGTTCGTCCACCGAGGCAGTTGTGCATTAAGTGTAACCAAAGTTATTGTTTTATGTTTGTGTTAGTTATTCTCCGTATGTAAGACTTTCATTATCTGTAAAAAAAAGAAATATATTCATAACCTTACCCGGAATTGCTAAAAATAAAATTCAATACTCAATACTCAATATATTTATTGCATTCATATGGTAAACATGTCTTAAATTTAAAATAATGCTACACATATGAGCCCTTTATTAGGGATAACAATAACAGCAGAGGTAGGCCGAGGTTTCAATTATTAATTAAAATTGTTATTTATCAAATAATAATATTAAAAAAAATGTCATATAATAATAAAGAAATACGTCATATTATGAGTAGAATTATGTCACTTGAAAGTTTGAATTTTATTAGGTTACAGTAGCATAACTTCATAGTATATAATTAACATTTATTTATTATTCAAATTTATTATAATATTATTTCTTTTATTTGTCATCAAAATATTCATTAAAATTGTAATAGCATTTATTAATAAGATGTAATTTTAATTTATTTAGAAACAGTGAATACTTTTCCTCGTTTTTAATAATAGGCGGGAGCTCATTGAATATCCTCAACGACATCGAATGGGGACTTGAGCTGTGTATGTGTAGCCGAGATCGTGGCAGAAGCAATCTATTCCGTGGTCTAAAAGTGTGTCGTTGAGGCAGGTCGTCAGTGTTAGTGTAAAAGTCAGGGTGTTGTTTAATAAATTTACAAATTTCTAAAATATATATAGAACACAAAGTCAAAATTTTAAATTGTTTAAAGTGCGGTCTGCAGCTATCCGTACTACTCAAATTGCCAAGAATGCGGATGCATCTTTTCTGGATTGTAAATATTTCTCGTGCGTGCACACTATTTCCCCAAAGGATAATTCCGTAACTTAGGTGGAAATGAGTGTAAGCATAATAAGCGGCCATTGCAGTTATTAGGTCAGTCGTTTTCTTTATCTCTCTCAATGCGTACGTGAAACTAGACAACTTTTTCTTAATTTTTTGTATATGACATTTCCAATTCACATGCGTGTCTATATTTAAACCCGGCAAAGTGAAGCTGTGTACTATTTCTACAGGCGTGTTATTATATGCATAAACTAAGTGTAGTGGAGTTTTTTGCGGTGGGTGAAATTGCATAATCTTTGTTTTATTTAAATTTATATCCAAGTTATGGTCAGACATCCAGTTTATGACCTCAGTGAAAACATGGTGAAGTTTTGCATTCACGTTGTCGCCGGTACCACATGACATCAAAAGTGAAACATCGTCGGCAAACATGACACAGTGTTCAGAAATAGATTTAGGTAAGTCATAGATATAGATTAGAAAAAGTAAACATCCAATCCCGCTGCCCTGCGGTATTGAACTTGTCATGTAATGCTGGTCAGATCTAACGTTACGTATTGTACATGTATTATAGTCAAAAAATTTAAAAATTTTTTCATAAACGTAATTGTACATGTAAATAAAACTATTTATTTTAAACAAACCAACGGTTCGGGCTCTAAAGTGGCCACACATCGAGTATATAACTTGAAATAGAGACGTATTAAGAGCCTTCCATCCCTGGGCCTGGGCCACTCATCAGGTAAATGGGCCTTATATCACTCTCGTTTGCACTGAAATCACAAATTAGACAGCTGAAATAGTATAGCCCCAACAACTGACTTGTGTGTACGTCTCCGTAAATTCCAAAATTATTCAGTATTTATTGTAATAAAGACAATATCTCTAACTAATGAGAGGTTGTTCCATTCGGTGGTGTGGGAAAAACAGGAAACATCTTTTTCTTATTTCGTCCTATTTCTGGTTGTATACTCGATGCCCTAACTCAACCTTTTTTAGTATTCCTCTAATATGTTCATGAGAATAGATCTAAAAGAAAAACACTTACGAGGGACAAGTTCTGCAAAAAAAGTACGACATTTTATGTTAATTCATAATAATTTGTTACGTCATCACCGTGAACCTGTATAACACGTCCCACTAGGCACGACGCTTCTCTAAGGGACTCGAGGACTTCCCAAGTTTTACAAAGATTGTAAACCTTCTTCGACGTAAATAAAAATCAAAATAAATAACAAAACAAAATCACATACGTTGCACTGTTCACAAATGGGATAATTTACAAACCTTCCAGAAAAGGACTGTAAGCCTAAAAACCAGCTCAGCTGTTTTTTTTTAAATAGCTATAACTTTGATAAAATTCTAGAACGGTTAGGCTACGTAGATTCTTTTCATGCGGATTGATTCTTTTGTTAATAAATGTCACAAAATCTACAATACATTTTATGCGTTTTTTTAATTACATAAAATTAGCGGCCGCATTAGTATCCGCTGATGTGTAAAAAGCCTGCATCAGCAACAACCCTGAATCCAAACAACCCGGACCAGTGCCTCTACCATAAGTTTACAGAGACAGTTGTCATGTTTACCATACAAAATTGTTAATAACTTTACAGTTTCGTACGGCAAATTACCTATACAGCGTTTCTAGCGGTGACAGGAAGAAACATATTGTATATAAACATTTTACACGGTCGCTAGCGATAACTGCCACTGTAATCTCATGGTAGAGGCACTGAACCCGTTTAGAAAAGGTTATTTCCCCAAATTGGACCTTCCGTAAATCGAACGTTCCGTAACCCCCTAATCCAGCACCCACAAAGCAATCTATTGGGCCCACGAGGTCGTGAATTGATCATACCAATATTATAAAAAACGGCAATAAAGTAAAAGATAAAATTACCATCACCTGAAAAAATAATTAACAATCATTATAATAATAAACAACAACAATTTGTTCAAAAATATTATTTTACTGTTTATCTACAGACATATCATAAACCCTCTATGATTTGTTCAAAAACCGCAAATTACGACCAGCTTAAAGATAAACTGTTTTGTTAGAACAAATTTCTTATCTGTGAAAATGTTATTGTTATTAATACATTCAAATTTCGAACATCTCTGAAAAACAAAACAATTTGACCTCAATTCTAATATCAGTCGAGATGAAGTTTTATTCAAAATGAAATGTCAATAGCAAACAATCTTGACAAATTTAACACGTTACTTGATATCGAACGATATGATAGTTGGGGCCGACTCTAGTTTGTCTATGAATTAAATAAAAACTACGGTTGTATGACACGCATGAGAAAAGTTTTTATTTGCCGCCATTTCGCCAGTCGTAACATGCGGTTCCTGAACACATCTCAGAGAGCTTATAATATGTGTGTGGATAAAGCAGTGTATGTGACTGTACATAATTAGGCACTAAAACACTCGTGTGATATTAAACCCACATTCGTACTTTAAAGCCTTTCATTATGTAACAGTCACAAACTACTATTATTCATTTCATCATCTATCACCTTCTACAGCCTCACTTCACTCACTGTTGGGTATAGGCCTCCCGAAGTTCCATCACGATCATATAGGGCTAGCATGACAGGGTGCGACTTGCGCGAGAGCGACATAAAGCACGAAATCTTTGTGCGATAGTTGCAGTATGTCCGCATCCATTGACGCGTACTATTATGGTAAGCTACACGCTTGTCCTTATTAGTTGCAGTGCCCTCGGAGCTTTAAATCGCAAAGATCTGAGGGGCACTGCCACTGCGCCCGTCCCCCTAAGACATAAGTTGACAAGTCCCGTGTGCCTGTAATTTGACCCTTACCCTTCAAAACCAGAATGCAGTAATGCTGACATTACTGCTTGGCGGCAGAAATAGGTGAAGTGGTAGTATCTCTCTGGACGAACTCTTTCACATGGAGCTCTACTGCTGCTATGCCGTCGACCCGCTTTGCTACTGGGCGTCTGATACTTCTTATGCCCATCCTCGGCCTTCAATCAGGTGGAACAAGACGTTTATACATTGCCATAAATCAGATAACTAAGCCCCATATAACTTAGACCTTAAGGACTAACATACACGTAATTTAGTACTAAAACTATACAAATAATCTTCACGAACTGCAGCGACACGTGGCGCAATCTAGTGTCAGGTTAGGGCGCGTCACCATTATGTCGTGACGGCAGATAGTCGTGCAGTTTAAAGTGTCGTGGCATGTATATTTAAATGAAGTTGTTCACACATAGAACAACAAGATTAACTGTCGTTCACTACTTTTTGCTAGAATGACAGTCGTCAGACGATAAATAAAACGTTACGGTAAAAATATGACGATAGATAATCGCAGCTTCAAACGATTCTGTCGTTTGACAAGTCGGCTGCCGTGAACCGATAAATGGTCGTCACAATCTAGTGGGAACAGCTAGATACAACAGTCGTTCAATGATAAAATAAACGCCCACGACAGATAGTCGTGATATGGGAACAGGTTAGACGCAACTGTCGACTAACGATAAATAAAATGTTACGACTTAATGGAAACGCACGCCAACCTGCCTCGGAATCGTCAAAACGCCTCCATCATGCAAATCGACAGACGTTCGGTTGGCACTCTTACAGCAAAATAAAATGCAAAATGCTTTTACTTACGTTCATAATCTGCAATTATAAATCAATAAGTCATACCCTTGGTGTAATCAATCAATCATGGACCAATTATTTAGGAGCACTGCTAATTCGCCGTACAAGACAACGTAATCGGGTATTTAGTACCTGTTGTACGCCAGATATCGCGACCAGTTATAAATAGCTATTTTTGTAGCTACAATAATTTGTTTTACATTGACAAGGCTGCAATTTATAACAAAGCTACTCTAATTTCCAGTGATAACAAACAAATCAACTAGATGGCGCTTATTTCACAAATCTTTACGGATAGTGCCGGCTATTCAGTTTTGTATAGGATTAGCATTACACCCCTTTACATAGTCACACTATAGCACGTGATCAGAAGCGTACAGGATTGTGCGCGGGAAAGCCTGCACGCACGAACGTGCCTGTACCTGTTTGAATTTTTTTAAGCTAGTGTCCTTTCGCGCGCAATTGCTAGTGTTAGGCGTATTCATCGAGTATATAACCAGAAATAGAGACGAAATAAGGGCCATCCATCCTTGGTAACTTATCAGGCATACATCAATCATAAATGTCAACTCTAGGGCTTCGGAATTCGGGCTCGCCAATCGGAGCGCTGCTGTCACCGTAATGATTTAGCAGAATGGTTTTCAAACAAATTAAATGACATTTCGTTTCTATTTCTGGTTATATACTCGATGGGCGCAGGATAGACCGCATGGAACTGGCGCGTGTTGGAGTGCGCGATTGCACGCGCAACTGTCGAGCACAATCGCGCGGGTTTTTTTATTTTCCTTCCGTCATTACATGCGCGCTCAATCGCGTACGATTGCTGTATCACGCGCGATAGAGTGTTTGTGTAAAGCCCGCTACTGACGGGCAAGTATGCCTATTTGTCAAAAGTTCAGAAAACAATTTTAGATATGATCAATGTATGAATATTCCAACTAAAAAAAACAACTTCTTATATTTCATATTAAAGAGGATTTAATTGACATCCACGGTCATTTACATAATATAAACTACTTCCAGGCCATTGATCAGCGCCATCTAGTTATAAAACGGAATTTTGACCTTTTTCAGTGTTACGATCTGTAGTATGGAGATTAGCGGTCCTCTGGCCTTATTGGTTAATAAATATTGCCACCTGTGACAATTCGTCAAAAGCACTTTCATCACATGAAAATCGTACAAATAATACGAAATATGTTAAACAAATTAGGTATACGACTGTAGGTGAATTTTTGTAACAGTCCTATTTAAACACAAAAGTTATCAACAAATTTCGTTTATAGAATTTTTAAATTTCTCTTCTGAAATTTCTGAAAATAAGTCAAATATCAAACCGGTACCTCCAATAAACACAACGCCATCTTTATTGTTTGGTCATTTACTGTTATTTATGTAAACAGCCATAATTATTAACTTTTTTATTTATATCATACAAACAAGGCATACAAGAACACAACAACTTCTCACCAATCTGCCAAAGCATTATACTCACAATCACAAAACTATAGTACAGTATAGTGATAAATGTACTGGTAGTACATTTATCAATACCAGTGTAGAATTTAACTAAATTTACATGCTTTCAAGAAGAGGAATTTTAATTTTTTCTTCAAAGTGAATTTACTTAAGAATCTAATATATTAAATATAGTTGGCAAAAAACGTATATTTGTTCTTCTACCATAATAGTTATTTACTTTTCTACATACATGTGTAAAAAAAACATATTGGACATACTAATATTATGCTTCCCGAACTTGGTGAAAAAGATAAACAAAAAACAAAATTCGAAAAACAAACAACGACGAATGTTATGAAAAAAAGGAACAAAATAAAAACAGAACAGGTCCAAAAATTAAGATGGCTAGTGGTATTGAAACGTGCGTTTTTACATACATAGTATGAATATGGACAACTACTTACCACCAAAGTCTATAAAGAAAAAGGTAAAAGTATTATTTATAGGATACCAAAGGACGTGACGAACAAGTCGTGCGCCTGATGGTAAGCGACACGCCTGTCCATAAGCAATTGCAGTGTCACTCAAGAGCTTTAAATCGCAAGAATTTTAAGGGCACTGCCAATCACCTTGAGACATGAGTTAAAGACAAATCCCATGTGTCTGTAATTTCACCAGCAATCTTACCCTTCAAAACCGGAGCGCAGTAATACAAACTTTTGTTCCATGATTTATTTATTTATGCAAGTATACAATACAAACAATAAAGTCAATAATTTCACAGTATGTAAGTTTACATAGGCAGTTCAGACAGTAGCCCACAGACATGTGTACAAACTTGGTACTAAATTTATAAATTTTAACATCCAGATATTTAAAAAATATTTTGGTGGTGGTATTTTTATATGTTTATCATTAGAGATATTAATTAATTAATAAACAATAATTGAAAAAGGATATTAAACTAATTCGAAGTTATAAAAAAGAACTTACTCTCAACTGAAACATTAAGGACAATTTTAATTTAACGTTGATTTGTTACAGTTCTCGTATTACAAATGAAAAAGAGCACATCCTTTTTTTATGATATAATCTAGTTACAGGAGGAACGAGACGTGAGTTTAAATATGTTTAAACTGACGTCTTCTACCATGAGATTACAGTGACAACTATCGCTAGCGACCGCGTAAAATGCTTGTATACAAAACGTTGATTCTTCTAGTGACCGCTAGGGGCGCTGTATAATTTGTCATACAAATTTGTAAAGAAATTCACGCGCTAATTAAGTTACTGAGACGAACTTTGTTATAAAAAAAAATACTTTATTTCTTATGCCAACCTAACTACACGGAATTCGAAATTACAATCAACCTTTTCTAACTTAAAATATGTAATATATAGAAGTTACAAAGCGTTGTCAGCTATGTGTTGTCATGCCGCTTGTCCTACTTAGATGGGTGCTGTCGCGGCGGCTTGGCAGGGCTGACGAAGCTGGTAAATGAGCGTTTCTTACACTTAACACGCTCGCTAGTGACAACTGTCACAGTAAACTTACAGTAGAGACAAGACAAAAACTTAAATCGCACGTCTAGAAATGCATACATTTTTCATACACTCGTCTATTATATCTCATAATATCAAGTGACGGGACGAATGACGACTGGTGGTAAGCTACACACCTGTCCATAACACTTGCAGTGCCACTCAGAGCTTTAGATCGCAAAGATCTGACTGCCACTGCCACTGCGCCCGTCACCCTGAGACGTAAGTTCAGTCTCATATGCCTGTAATTTCACCAGCACCCTTACCGTTCAAGACCGGAACACAGTAATGCTGACATTACTGCTTGGCGGCAGAAATAGGTAAGGTGGCAGTACTTCCCTGGACGAACTCTTTCACATGGAGCTCTACTGCTACTAAAAACCGCCGACTGCTACTCAAAACACGCGATATCGTTACATACGCGCGACTACGCACATTTAGAATTATAACCACTGATAGTGCACATTCAGATGACCGTGTGTTATCGTTCACTGCAATTCATTTGAACCATAGCTCCGTCACTCGCTCAAGGTTACCCGATAAGTGCCTACCGCTGAATGTACCGACATCGGCACAAGCGCTCACACAAATCTTTCATTTATGAGCATTCGGTTCCGCACAACTGCACACGGTGAGCAACGTTATTTTCACCTCTCTCAGCGCGTGTTTAGGTTCCTTTTTCCTCGTAATAAGCGTCAGGTGTCATTAGTCAGATTTTATAGGCTATTGTAGGTATGTTCGATTTTGGTTGAGAGTGATTGTTACGGACGGCCGTACGCGTCTGGCCGTTCAGAGCAATAATGAGTAGTAATTCAGAAGCTCTGATTGGCCGAGCGGAGTCCGCGGCGAATTTATAGAGCCGGTACGGTGTGGGAGACACTCTGTGCCCTCTTGGGCACCCTCAGGCCCGTTACTTAGCTTTAAGTTTATTTTACCGGTTATGAGCCTTCAGCTCGCCCTTTTCTTCTGCAAAGTGCAGTGTTCTTCAAAAAAAAAAGAAAAAAAGAACAATTGTCTCATTCGTAATTCATTTGTAATCATGTTCAGTGGCGTTCGATATTCGATAAGTCAGATGGACATAGAAATAAGTTTTATAGAAATGTACAGTCCACTTCCTGAATCAATAAACCATACGATTTAAGTTTCAAAGGAGTTTTATTGAAGAAAAGAAGAAGTTGAAGAAAGAAGTTCCTGGACCGTTTCAGGCGTATTGGGACAGGGTCACCAACAGTGATGTATCTGTTACGCAGTAACTTTTAAGTAATCTGTGTCTGAACGTTACAACGCGTCAGGTGTGCGTCCGTATGAACCTAAGATTACCCTTCAAAACCGAAATACAATTATGCCCAGATTACTGCTTGAATATGCCAATTTATTATTGGCATATTCAATTCATTACCCTTCAAAACCGAAATACAATTATGCCCAGATTACTGCTTGAATATGCCAATTTATTATTGGCATATTCAAGCAGTAATATGGGCATTTAATTTATTAATTTTCGCTGTATTTCGTAACCGTTAGACGCTCAATGGAGAAATGAGATGCATCTGTCTACTCTCTTTCGCTATCGTCGACGTACCTTCATCTCTATTTCTTGCGGCACTACCACAGTCACTCCTTTTTATAATAATAATTATTGATAATAACCTCGGAAGTTGTAAGATATGTATGCAAACTAAAATTTTTAAATTTCTAAATTCTGTTGCCTGTTGTCCTGTAGCTTGTTGACGTTTTGAATTATATCGTATTTTAATTAATTGAGGTTAATGACTAACTGTAATTATAAAACATTGTACACCCGACATGGGTATATGAACGGTTGTACTCAAACTACATGTCTTCTTTAACAGTTCAAACAATAAATGATTCTGATTCTAGTTCTGACGACCATAAATTACAAAAAACTAATTTTTAACTCACCATAACCACCTGTAACAAAAAGAACAATCTTTATATATAAAATTATATAAACCACTTAGAAAATACCGTAAACAAAGTTATAGCATAGGAAATGAAACTATTTTTCCGGATTTAAATCGCTGAGGTGGTGGTGAGGAGGTGACTGAGGACCTCAGTCAACCGTGACCATGGGACCTGTAAAGGACCCGAAACGTCGGTTTGTTTGAAAAAACAAATATACGCGATTTAAATCCGGAAAAATAGTTTCATTTCCTATGTGTAACAATCGCGAAAACCTAAGAACTCGAAAAGTTATAGCATTTACCAGATAAATATGCCTGAGTACCACTACCAAGTGCGGCATCCTTATTACTCAGAACTGCTACTCGTGTCGTCGTTTTATCTCTACCAATACACTCGCTTTGCCTACGGACCCTGCTACCTACTTGTCTGACTTTGCTCGTTCTTGAAAGTGTTAGATATGAGCTACACGTTAAGTGAATTTGGAGAAATGCATTATTTTTATGTAGTTGCTCATGGCAACGGCCATGAAGCAGCACGACGGTATCACGATCAACTTCGACGACGAGGTGGACCACAACCTGATCGATATTCCGATCATCGTGTTTTTACTAACACCACACCCCGGACACTCCATACAACGGTCAAAAGTTATTTGCCTACTACTACTACATACAGCAAGGCGTTATCTGCACACGCGCAAATGTGTGCGTGAAGTGGCAGGGTTACCCATCACTTATGTGGTCAGAGCGGCAACCAAGCGAAAATACTTAAGCGAATCCGTTATCTTTAATTCTATTCATAGATTCCTAATAATTACACATGTTCATTAGTTATTTATATCGATATAATATTATATTTTTCATTAATGAACTAATTATTGAACATTAAAAAAAAATATATATATAAAAAGCAATTAAAATGTTGTATTTTGAGCAGGTACTTTCAAATAAGCTAACCAAGGTATTTAAAATTGCGTGTCCAAGTTTATCATTACCTAATTATTAATTAGGTATATTCGCGACGTAATATTTATCGGCAATGCAAATTGAAAATTCGAGAACTTCTGTCTACTAGCTCAAGAAAGTTATAGCATCTCATTATATTGATATAACAAATCTGTATTATATATTACTGTGCACTAAATAAATGAAGAAAACACGTTTCATCTATCGGAAAACGAAAGAAACTCCTCTCTTTATCCCGTTTAGATGATGATAAACAGCCGTACACAGCACAATTCACAACCATTAAAAAAATAGTAACGTACAATGATGTTATATATTAACGTACACGCATAATGAATAAATGAAAATTATATTCAAATATCATAGCCGTTTTAGCGCGATAACGGCTCGCCGACAGCCCTGTTGTCGTTCAGTCAATGTGAGGGCGCGTTCCCACTATGTCGTCACGTTTTATTATCGTTGGACGACTGTCGTGTCTCGCCTGTTCCCATATCATGACTACCTGTCGTGGACGATTTTTTATCCTTGAACGACTGTCGTGACTAGCTGTTCACGACAGCCTCCTTGCCCATCTCTGGCTACGACCCAACGCTACAACAAAGCGAGCAGAGGGGAGGGCAGGGAGCAGAATACTTGCGGACAGCGATAAATAAAACGTGACGACAATAGAAGCTGCGACAATCTGTCGTCACGTTTTTATCGCGACGTTGTTTATCGTCAGACGACTGTCGTTCTAGCTGTTTCCACTGTGACGACAGTTTGTCGTTGTAACGATAAAAATCGTGAATGACAGTTAATCGTGTCGTGCTGTATGCGAACAACTTCATTTAAATATACAAGCCATGACACTGTAAACTGCACGACAATCTGTCATCACGACATAGTGGGAACGCGCCCTGACCGTCAATGTGCGGAGCGTGGCGCGGTATCTAAAGCTAGGGAGGGGCGGAGAGTGTCCATTCTCGTTATTTTTTGTTCTCTGCTAACACGCATGCCACGTTAATAGCAGGCCGCATTCCTGGTCGAGATAGCCATTCTGAAGCAGTCCCTAGAGTTCGACTCCTCGACTGTATTTTTTTGTGTGTATATTACGCGGTTACTCCGATTGATTTGCGAACAGATTTTGATGATTCTTTTTTGTTGGAAAGAGAGTACCTCAGTATTGGTCCCATTTAAATTTTAAGATAATATTCCATCTCTTAGCACGTTAAGCGCGCTGCATCCGAGACTATAAAAATCTAGAAAACTCGGACCGACTTCGGTTGTCGCTTGTGCACTAAGTCCCATTCGAATCCAAGAAAATACGAACATCGCTTGTACACCTAGAGATAAAATGGTCCCTGTGACATTTCGGACTGTCATTTCTCGGACTCGGAACTGGGGGTCTACACTCGATCTCCGCCCGATATCCGTCCGAAACAATTGCTGCCAAATAAGCAATATTTGACAAATGAAAAGACGCGTGATGCGAATGAAGCTTCATATTTGCTACTTGTCTTTTAATTTTGTCAAATATTACTTATTTGACAGCATTGACTTACAAATAAATGGACGACGAGTCTAATACAAAAACCACGAAAAAAATGTCCCAAGTCAATCTATTTAAACGTAGTGACATGTAAAGGAATATGAAAAAGCTGAAACGTTGAATTTAAATTGTAATGTCATCGCAGTACTGTCTAATTTTGCTTGCTTCGCTGTCAGTCGAACAAACGAAGACTAAAGCGTGAATGACGCTCTGTATACGATTTTAACGCCCTATAAGTTCGGACACTTTTTAGCGCGGACCCGACGTCCATATAATTGTAAGTCAATGTTTGACAGTAATTGTTTCGGACGGATGTCAGACGGAGATCGAGAGTAGATCCCCTGATACGAATCGGACGTAGAGCCTTAGGACGTTTATTAAGTTTCACCCACTTTCCTTTAACCGATGTCAATAAAACTTGGCAAATAGATGTAATTCCACAAACTTCTGAGGTCGGTATAAAAAAAACTTACGCCAAAGTTCGTTAGCATACATGGCCTGATCAGGTGACGGAAGGCTGTAGATATATCCAATTTGACAAGGGTTCCAATGGTCACAAACCTCGTGGTCGGGGTCCAGCTCGGTTACATACTTGTAGGTCTGAAGAAAGCACACGAAGATTGTCAGTTCAAATAAGTTGTGCACCTGGTGCCATGCGACACACCTACCCACATCGAGTATATAACCAAAAATAGAGACGAAATGTCATTTAATTTGTTAGAAAACTATTCTGTCAAATCGTTACGGTGACAACTGCGCTCCGATTGACCAGCCCGATTTCGAAACAATTGACGGGGGTCGTCAATTGTTTCACTTCAAATCGACCAGTTTAAAAATAAAAAAATTACATAATTAATATTTAATTACCGAAATGTGTTTCAGTATGTTTTGTAATTTGATTTTTTGCTGTCCACACCACCGAATGAAACAGCCCCCCATTGTTAGAGACATTATCTTTATTACAATAAATACAGAATATTTTTGGAATATACGGAAGACGTACACACGGATCAGGGGTCTACTCTCGATCTCCGTCCGAAACAATTACTGCCAAATAAGCATTATTTGACCAAATGAAAAGACGCGTGACGCGAATGAAGCTTCATTCTTCATACTTGTCTTTTAATTTTGTCGAATATTACTTATTTGACAGTAATTGTTTCGGACGGATGTCGGACGGACATCGAGAGTAGACCCCCAGTTGTTGACGCTGTACTATTTCAGTGCAAACGAGAGTTGATATTTAAAAGTGATGTAAGGCCCATTCGCCTGATGAGTTGCCAGGGATAGATGGCCCTTATTTCGTCTCTATTTCTGGATATATACTCGATGCCTACCCATGACAGTAGCGCTGCCAATAAGAGCTTTAATCGCAAAGATCTGAGGGGCACTGTCACTATCACGGAAGATAAATACAATGGAAGTGCCTTAAGCATCGCTTACTACCAGTGTTAACTCTGCGTTTTCTGCGTCTAGGTTTACCTTTGCAAGTTACAAGAAGCCCGTACGGGTACGGAGCACGCTTCGCTCGCAGTCGAAGGCGGGCAAAAACTGCGCAAAATAACTGCGCTTATGAGAATTGTTTTTTCATTTTCATGTTTTAGGAATGTGGATTCCTTCCATAAAACAAAAAGAAAATAAGAAAACACACAACACAGTTTTTGCACGATTTAATCTTCAATGAGTTGGTGGTGCAATAGGAGATCCCGAACGCTAACCGCGACGCCTCCAAAGAGCCTGCATAGCTAACATAACCATACGTCCAGCTTTTAAACTTCTTGTCCCGCTCTATCCCCAAAATACTTAACAATGAACTCAGCCCACTAGACAACACAGATTACTTTTTCAATATTTCATAATTAAACATTCTTAATTTAGTAAGTCCGTTACGCTCAAATCACACAGGTGCAGTTCATCTCCATTTTCCCATTATTAAGGTATAAACATGTGTCATGCAATTACGCGATATACGACGCGCGGCTTCGCTTTCCCCTTCTGTAGTTCAAAACGACGCGACGCGACGCTTCGACTCTGCACCAGTGTGAGTTGAGCCTAACTATCTCGCGGCGCAAGCCAAGTAAATGGGCTATTGATTCCCAATATCATTTCACCCAGCACCATTTGCACCCAAATTTCCGATCACAGGGGAGATTGTATAACCGTAGTCTATTTCGATCCCGTACCCGCTAGATGGCGTCAGGGTATTACACCCTGGCGCTACATTGGCATGCGCCGGCGCTCCGTCCATAAAACTATATTAAAAATAATTATTAATACAAAGATCAAACGCTAATTTATTTTATTTATTTCAGATTACAAAAGACCAAGAAAAAATTCCTTCGATCCGGCCGTATACGAAGCTAAGTGAAGAAAAGCTTTCATAGATTTCTCAGAGATGGCGCTGACGACAAAAAGTCGTTAAAAACCGGAAACAAAGACCTGCGCAGTCAAATCGGCATCGACCCGATCGGGTAGTCTCGAAATCAGATGGGTTTCCGAGCGAGAAGTTGAGTCTGATTCTTACTATGTCTTTCTAATTTGTGAGTTAAATCAGGTATTGTTCCAATTAGAAATGTCAAAAGTTTCCGACCGGCCAGTTGTGAATCGCAATTATGGGCCTCGACTCGGAAGAGACGCAGTTTCCGATCGGGAGAGGCAATCAAAATTAAGCTGATAGCTGTTCGTACGGTACGCCAAATCATGACTTTACTTAGTTAACATAGCGTCTGTCACGGTTTACCGGAAGACATTGGTTCGAATCCAGCCGAATCAAAGGATTTCTTCTTAATGTTCGACCTTTGTATTAATAATTATTACACACTAGTCATTGACTTACAATTATATGGACGTCGGGTCCGCGCTAAAAAGTGTCCGCACTTGTAAGGCGCTAAAATCGTATACAGAGCGCGACACTCCGCTTTAGTCTTCATTTGTTCTACTGACAGCGCGATACTGCGATGACATTACAATTTAAATTTCGAATAGGTTGACTTGGGACCTTTTTTTCGTGGTTTTTGTATTAGACCCGTCGTCCATTTATTTGTAAGTCAATGACACTAGTGGAGTAATTTCACAAAAAATAATTTAATATCATGGTGTTAAAAGTTATGATAAAAATAATGAAATAATCACCCTGTCAGGATAATATCGGTAATGAACAACGACATCGTCTGTGTCTTCCAGGGCGCATTTCGTTGCAGTGTAATTCAAAGATGTCCGCTCGATGGGTGCACATCCTATTACCATTGTTCCGTTATGAGGAAGGTCGGGACCTTCTATTCTGTGTCCTGTGAAAAAGAAAATACAAAATAGTCTTTATTACGGTAAGAATAAAATCTTGAAATAGTCTGATTGATTAATGCTCAGGCCACACAGAGGCGGCCGACGCGCGACCGCCAAGCGTTTCAATGCGGCAGAATTCAATTCTAGGGTCGGCGGACTAAAGTTCACACATTACAAAAATTCACGCGTCCGGAACGCCTCTGCAGCCGCTATATTATATTTTTTTAGATGTAATTTGACACTACAACACCTCTTTTTAACCGAGTTTACAAAAGGAGTCAATTCGACGTATGTTACGCGGCTGTTTGTGAACCGATTTTGACGATTCTTTTTTGTTGGAAAGAGGGTACCTGAGTAGTGGTCCCATTTAAATTTGAAGAAAATATTCCACATCGACGGGTAGCAAACTAAGGGATGAATCCGGGTTTGCGCACTTCCTGATAACCGATTCCAATAAAACTTGGCATATCGACGTAACTCCACGACTTTTGAAGTCGGTTTTTTTAGTAGGTAGTCTGTATTGAGATTATGTTAAAATTATTCTTCGTACATAAATTGCTCAAAACCAAAAGAGAGATTGCAACAAGCACTTAGAAAAATCCGTGAGGTCTGCTGGTTCGTTTCGTAAGTCAATTGGGAGAGCGTTAGCCACGAATCCAGGAATTTTTCTTATTGTCCGATCTTTGTATTAATATAATTACAACGAACTATATACGAATCATAATTACAATACATATTGTAAAATAGTTTTAACTTTTATTAGAGCTTAAAAAGATCTCACAATTACACGAGTCAAAACACGGTAAAAACCATTTGGCAACTCGACTGTGTCGGGAGGGTGGTGACTAGGCACGTACGAATCCAACCACCAGTAGTTATTGCTCTTTAGCACCACCCAGGGGTCACTTGTAGGGTTTCGAGGGTAAACCTATGGAATCGAGCAATATCGACCCCCAAACTTGATGGTTTTTTAGTTTTCTGACGCTTTTAAACATTTATTTGGGTGACAATAGAAAAATATCTGAATACCGAGACTTAATAACCGAATAATCTCAGTACAGAGTACTAAAAAAACCGACCTCAAAAGTACGTGGAATTAGACGAGCAAATAGACGATTTGCTAAGTTTCATTGAAATATCCCCTAGTTCGCCACTATACAGGACTTGATACTGGAGATAATAAAAATAGGTTCTCACTACGACACTACTCAAAGTATATCGAGGGAAAAACGCCTTGAATTGGAGAAATAGCAAAATCAACTAAATAATTGCTAAAAGTAATTGCTCCTAAATTAAAGTTAGG